TCAAGCACCCCAGCTCCTGTTGAAGAGGCTGTGAGCGCTCCCGAGGGGGACAGCCTGGCAGGAGAGGCAGGTGGGCTGTGTTTGGCTCTGGGAGCCTCCGTGGATGTGACACAGCAGGGGCGGTGAGAACTGGTTTCTAGAGAACCGAGGTCATGACCGGAATGCTGCAGGAAACAGACAAACTCTGTGTCTTAGACAAGGTTAGAAACTTGATTTTTCTGCAAAGGTCCGGGGAATAGGGAAGACAAAACCGGCCTCGCAGCTGGGACGTGACCTTGACGAACGTCCGGGGCCTGCTGTGCTGGCTGTCCGCAGCCGCCGTGGGGACGGAGATCCCCCTGATTCCGGTGCTTTGCGTGCTGACCCCCTCACAGGGCTCCTGTGTACAGCTTTCTCCATGGGCATCTTCTGCCTTGCTTATGAACGGCTAAGTTTTGGCGAAGCTCTCCTTCAAACCCTTCAAAGATTCGATTGATGCTTCGGATCCCTGTCAGCGTTATTGGAGCAAAGCCCGTCACGGGTTCTCCGGATTGGTTGCCTCTGGCTCACGCACCCAGCCTTTCTCAGAGCCGTGGCTCTGCTGGGAGGTCACACGATGGAGAGCGATGGAAAGTCCACGGCCTTTCCAAAGGGGGCTGTGCATGTGGCCAACCTGAGAGGGCTTCCCAGAAAAAAAGCAACCTAAAAGGAAGCTGAACTGGCTTCCCTTCTCAGGCTTGTGCGGTGGGCGAGGCGGCTCCAAGAGTAGACAGACGGCGGCTGGGCAGTGACAGGTAGGACAGACAGATGAGACTCAAGGAAAGAGTCAAGTAATTCAGAACTGAGTTTCAAAACACTGTAGCAGGTCGAGATTCACCATCCCGGGATGCCTGAATGCCCCGAAAGGCACTGGGCTCTGAACATCGAGGGTTTTAAAAAAAAAAATTTTTTTTAATGTTTATTTATTTTTGAGAGAGAGAGAGAGAGACAGAGCATGTGCGGTGGAGGGGGTTGAGAGAGAGGGAGACACAGAATCCAAAGCAGGCTCCAGGCTCCGAGCTGTCAGCGCACAGCCCAACGTGGGGCTCGAAATCGTGAACCACAAGACCATGACTTGAGCTGAAGCCGGATGCTTAACCGACAGAGCCACCCGGGCGCCCCTGAACATCGTGGGTTTTTACCACGTGGTGCCTCGCATATTATCTTGTTCCTTTTGAGTGCAGCGTGTGGATGAATGCAAGCCAGATATCCACTCATTTCTGTCCTTATTCCGAGAGAAATGCACTTGGGCTCTGGGTGAGCCTCGCCCCCGCGAGCACCTTTGAGCACGGCCAGCGGGCTGACACCACAGGGTCTGATCCGGGGCCTAGAATGACAATGTGGCAGATGTGGGAGGGAAGGGGGCTGCGACCAATTTGTGTACATATGAAAATCATCATCTCGGAACAAGCTTTCACTGGACTGCGTGCTCTGGAAACAATCATTTGCTCAAGGAAACGTCCCAAATACCCCGTCTGCAATTTCCTTGCATTCTGAAGCATTTTAAGAGATAGTGGGGTTGATGTCTGAGAACCAGGGGAAGGGCCCTTCACCATTTGAATCCAGTGTTCAATACTTTTTTTTTCTTTTCTTCTTTTTTTCAATTGTTTTAAATGCTTATTGATTCTTGAGAGACAAAGTGAGAGCAGGGGAGGGGCAGAGAGCGAGGGAGACACGGAATCCGAAGCAGGCTCCAGGCTCTGAGCTGTCAGCCCAGAGCCCGACGCGGGGCTCGAACCCAAGAACCATGAGATCATGACCTGAGCTGAAGTCAGACGCTCAACCAACTGAGCCACCCAGGTGCCCCCGGTGTTCAATACTTTCAAAGTGTGGCCACTGAAGCAAGTAAACCGAATGCCATTGTCCTCACAATAAACATCCATGGGTGTCCGATCGGTGTTGGTGGGTCATTTTCACCTGGCTCTCTTAAGGAGCTTTTGGTGTTTGGTTTGAGGAAATGTTTGGCATATCCACCACCAGTCCTTCACACGGGCGTGCTAGCCTCATCCCTATAAAGTATACGCCACGTTGGGGGCGCCTGGGTGGCTCGGTCGGTTGAGCATTGGACTTCAGCTCAGGGCATGATCTCACAGTTCATTAGTTCGAGACCCGCATCAGGCTCTCTGCTGTCTGTGCACAGCCCATCTCGGGTCCTTTGTCTCCCTCTCTCTGCCCCGCCCCTGCTCTCTCTCTCTCTCTCAAAAATAAATAAACATTAAAAACATCTTAAAAAGTATATGCCACATTGTCTTTACCCATTCAGATGTAACGGGATATTATTCAGCCCAGAAAACGAAGGAACTCCTGTCATTTGAGACAACACGGATAAAACTGGAGGACGTGATACAAAATGAAATGAACCAGACAGACAAGGACAAATGTGACGTGAGGATCTCATATTCGTGGAATTCAAAAACTGAGCTCACGGAAACAGGGTAGAACAGTGGTTGCCAGGGGTTGGGGGTTGGGGGAAACCAGCAGATGCTGGTCAAAGGCAACAAACTTTCAGTTACATGAATGAGGCCTGAGGATTTAAAACAGTTAACCCCACAGTGTTATATACGTGACATTTACTAAGAGAGTAGATCTTAAGCATTTTTAACCTGCAAAAATAAGGCGGCTGTGTGAGGTGATGGATGGGTTGATTAACTTGACGGCGATAATCATCTCACCAGACAGACATCAAAGCCTCCCCTTGTACCTTTTAACTATATCCAATATTATTTGTCAATTATACCTCAGTAACACTAAGGGGCAAATAAAAAAAAAAAAAAGAAAGAAAAAAGAGGCCTAGCCTGAGAGTTAAATAATATCTAGCTCGCCTGTATTGAAACATTTATCTAACGAACATGAATTTTTAGTTCCCTGCTTTATAGCGAAGAAGAAGAACAAATATTTTTGACCGATTCACCTGCTGCGGACCCTGACCCTCCCATAAGCCTTCTCTTTCAACCTACTTAGGATCTACATAAGTTCCCTTTTATAGATGGAGACACAGAGAGTGAGGCCCCACGACTATTGAACAGCTGAGTAAAAGCAGACCTATTCTGCTTCATTCTACTCTACAGCAACATTTCCTTTTAAGGAAGGTAGAGTGGGAGCGCCTGGGGGGCTCAGTCTGTTAAGCGTCCGACCTCGGCTCAGGTCATGATCTCACCGTTCGTGCGTCCGAGCCCCGTGTTGGGCTCTATGCCGACAGCTCAGAATCTGGAGCCCGCTTTGGATTCCGTGTCTCCCTCTCTCTCTGCTCCTCCCCCCGCTCATGTTCTGTCTCTCTGTCTCTCTCAAATATAAACAAGCATTAAAAATTAAAAAAAAAAAAAATAGGGTAGAGTATTATTGAAACATCTATTGCTGAAGGAGGTATTAGCAAATCGGTCTCTGAATGACAGAACAAATCAGCTTCATTTCATACACACCCTAAAAAACTCCTTATAAATTAAATATCTGCTACAAGTACTATTCATCTGCAATATCGCCATCTGCTTTGTTTTTTTTTTTAATGTTTATTTATTTTTGAGACGGAGAGCGAGCGAGTTGGGGAAGGGCAGAGAGAGACACACACACAGAATCCGAAGCAGGCTCCAGGCTCCAGGCTGTCAGCACAGAGCCCCACGCGGGGCTCGAACCCGTGAGCCATAAGATCATGACCTGGGCCGAAGCCAGACAATTAACTGACTAAGCCGCCCGGGTGGCCCTCACCATCTGCCTTCCTTTGGTAATGGACCCTTCGAGGGCACCTGGCTGCCAGAACATTAGTCACCTCCCCAACTGCTTAGAGCCACAAGTGGCCGTGTGACTGAAGAGTGACCAATGAAATGAGAGTCACAGAGGTGTGAACATCCTCCGAGTGGGCTCTCAGATGAGCTGGCTGTGTCCCTACTTTCTCCCGGCCATCCTCACTGACTGGAATTCAAAGCTGATGCCGGGAGTGAGAGCGGACGTCTGGGGAAGTGAGTTGGAGGCCTTATGGTAAGGCTTGCGGGAAAGAGCATAAATGTCTCTGGGTCCCGACATCACCACCACGCTGGCTTCTCAGTGTCCACTGAGACTCTAAGTGGCTCAGCTGAGAAGCCAAGGCCAGGGTCGTGTGGCCGCAGAGCCTAAAATATATACCATCCGGCCCTTTCCATAAAATCTTGCTGCCTCTTGGTCCAAGTACAGAAACCTGGTGACGACGTGAAATCAGCGGAAGGCGCCCTTGCCTTGGACGTCGTCTATAGACCTGAACTCTAGCCTGAGCCCTGCTTCCAGGTAGGTGGGTGATGTCGGGCAGATCGGTTCATCTCCCTGAGTCGGTTCCTACCTCTACACGACTGATGGAGTGTTCTCTGATGTGCGCATGGTGCCCGGATGTAGCCTCACCTCACGGTGCTGGTGCACAACCTGGGACCCCTTCTTTGTCTTTCATCCACTGGAGTGGCCTGTGCCTCCCTTCCCTGCCACCTTCTCTTCGCTAATGACCCTGAGGGTGAGGCCTGCAGACCTCCTGACACAGTTCGAATGCCCAATTCTGTGGAGCAAGACCAAAGGTAATTCCTTTCCTTCCTTCCTTCCTTCCTTCCTTCCTTCCTTCCTTCCTTCCTTCTTTCTTTCTCTTTCTTTCTTTCTCTCTCTCTCTTTCTTTCTTTCTTTTTTTCTTTCTCTCTTTCTTTCTTTTTCTCTCTCTCTCTCCCTCCCTCACTCCTCCCTCTTTCTTTCTTTCTTTCTTTCTTTCTTTCTTTCTTTCTCTCTCTCCCTCCCTCCCTCACTCCTCTTTCTTTCTTTCTTTCTTTCTTTCTTTCGAAAGCTAACAAACCTTTAGAGGATTCTGCTGGCATTTAAACAGTAGTTTATTCTGTCTTGCCATTTATCAGCTGGTACCAAACACAGTAAAAACCACCGATCAGCTGAATAAAACAGATCACCATTAAGCACAGTGTGGACACTCTCTGAAGTTTTGGACCAGCGAGCTTTTCTGTCTTTTGGGGGAGATACTGAAGATCATAGTGAGCAATTATATTTAAGAAAAATCAATAAAAATATCCATGATTGTCCAGCAGGAGTGCTTGAATCAGAAATAATTTTAAGGCACAGTGTCTATCAGATCATTTAGGACTGAGTCGAACAGCTAGTCCATAAAGTAATGGACGGTGGAAATTTGCCATTTGGAGACAAGTCAGGAGATTCAACTATTCTTTTTTTCCTTCTCTGATATTCAGCGGATGAGGTCAGTGAACTCTGAGCAGCGACCCAACTGATGCTTTCTGGCCAGAACGTGGTGCCCTCCTCTGCGGATGTCTGTCCCTGAAACTTCGCAGGTGCTTTGCCAGCAGTTTCCTGGAGGCTCGGCAAACGGGCAGTGGGGGAAGGTGGGGAGAAGAGGCTTTCCTCGCGTGTACCTTACCAGGTGGCTGGGGAGCTCCATCATCAGGACAGACAGCCTGCCTCCCCGCCCACGAGAATTTTCTGCTGGAGGATTTGAGAGTTTCCTTCAGCAGAAAGGGGGAAATAAACGTCTGACACTCTCTGTCCATCATTAACCAGTCGGGAAGACAGAACGGACGCTGGTTATTCCCACGGACAGGATTTCATTTTATTTCATTATTTTATTTTATTTTTAAGTTTATTTATTTATTTTGAGAGAGAGAGAGAGAGGGAGAAAGGGAGGGGCAGAGAGGCAGGGAGAGAACCCCAAGCAGGTTGTGCACCATCAGCATGGAGCCTGACGTGGGGCTTGAACCCATGAACTGTGAGATCATGACCTGAGTCAAAATCATGAGTCAAAGGCTTAACCGACTGAGCCATCCAGGCACCCCCAGGGACAGGATTCTAATAGGAGGGATTGGTTGAGCAGATATGGGAAGACTGAAAGGCTCAGGGGTCGCTGTGGCAGCAGAGGGGTGCTGAGGGAGCACTGGGGAAGCCCCCCTGAAGGGCCTGCAGCCTCTGGCCAACCGTCATGGTGGTGGGTTCACGCTGGCTCCTGAGGTGTTGGGAAAAGCGTGAAGGGAAACCAACTCTCACTGCCAGGATGAAGAACTATTGGTAAGGTGATGTGGACTGAGTCCTTCCTCTTCTTCCCACCTTCCCCTCCTGCCCCTGTTTGCTGAGCCTCCAGGGAACTTATGACAAAGCACCCGTGACGTTTCATGGGTTGGACCCAGCCTCAAGGAATAGGGTGGGTTTCGACAATAGCTTAAAAACCAACGTGTGCCGTTTTGAGGCCCCTAGTGTTTGGTCACGCTTCGCTCTAGGTCACAGCAATCCTGAGTGAATAAGGAATTTAAGGACGAGTTACCAATAAGTAAGAGCATTAGTCTGGGCCACTGGTGTCACCAGCTCTATGTCCAAGGCGCAGTCATGTTCCAAACCACACATTTTTCATCCTTGCTGTGTGCTAGGCACATAGTAAGTACTGGAGGGAAAGTGGACCACATAGGCTACAGGCCTCGTCCTCAAGGAGTTGAGCGAGGAGAGAGGCAGGGGGAAGCCGTGAAGTATGCCTAGCTCTTTCAGGGAAAGACTCGGATTCTTCCCCTCTTCTGCGCTTTTCATTTAAGAGTTGTTGACTGAGGGTCGCCTGGGTGGCTCAGTCGGTTGAGCATCCGACTTCGGCTCAGGTCATGATCTCACAGTTCGTGGGTTCAAGCCCTGTGTGGGGCTCTGTGCTGACAGCTCAGGGCCTGGAGCCTGCTTGGGATTCTGTGTCTCCCTCTCTCTCTCTCTGCCCCTCCCCCCGCTTGCACTCTGTCTCTCTCTCAAAAATAGATACATATTAAAAGAAAAAAAAGAGTTGTTGACTGAGAAGTGTTGGCCAACTTCTCTAAGCCTTGGTATTCTCATCTGTAAAGCACAAATGTTCATATAGTACCTCCTTCCATGGTGCATGGCCGATGTGAGATAAGAGATTGTACACCCAGGGAACTTGAATTGTTCACATCATCTAACTCTCCTCTACTCTTACCTCAGTTAATGTTGTCATTTCTGCCAAAGCCTGTCAGACTTCCTAGGTGCCCCCCGTCGAATTAGTCCTCAGGTACGTCGCTTTTCACCTAGAATTCTCTGACTTCTTCGTCATTCCACTGGCAATGTCTCCATCACATCTTTGTCACCAATGGCGATCGGGACCGCCCTGCCCTTCCCCACCCAGGCTTTTCTCTGCCGCCAGAGCCATGTTGACAGCTGAAACCTGAATGTTTCCTTGTTGTGCTCTGAAGCATCAGGATAGGTGAAGTTTCACACTTTGTCATCTGGTAAACTCATCCATGATCCGGTCACTGCCTACTTTTCTGCATAGACAGCCTGTTACTTTTTCCACACATCCAGGAAATACACAGCGTCCTTTGAGCCTAACTAATACCAGGTCTCACTTGACATCCCGGCACACGAAGCCTTCTCTGGACCCTCGCAAAGCAGAGTTAGTGACTTCTTCTTCTATAGTTTTAGACCCTGTGTACCTTTTTCTGAGTTCTTTGTAGAACAGACCGTCCCTGCCCCATCACCATTTGGATTGTGAATTCGGGAGGGAAGAAAAGGCTGAGTTGTTATTCTTCAGTGTCTAACACATCCTTGGCTCCATGAAGGCTGAACACATGGAAAAATGAGGAAATAAATTCTGTATCAAATATTATAATTAAAATTCACATATCATCAGCACACCAACAGACTTAACCAGAGCGTGACTTCATGTCGAGACACACATCAACCACTGTCTTTGTTCTGGGCTTTTCTTAGTTCTAGAACTTTCTTTATAGCCACCTGCCTCTTCAGAAAGTATGCCATGGGGGTGCCTGGGTGGCTCAGTCGGTTGAGCATCCGACTTCAGCTCAGGTTATGATCTTGCAATTCATGAGTTGGAGCCCTGCGTCGGGCTCTGTGCTGATGGCTCAGAGCCTGGAGCCTGCTTCCGATTCTGTGTCTCCCTCTCTCTCCGCCCTTCTCCCACTTGTACTCTGTCTCTCAAAAATAAATAAAAACACTAAATAAAGGGGAATATCCTTTGGTGAAACCTCAGCGGCCTAGAGTTCGCTTTTGATGAGTTGGCAGTGAAAATACAGTCAAATTCTTATTTTTATTTTTATTATTTTTTTAAGTTTATTTCTTGAGAGAGACAGAGAGAGAGAGAGAGAGAGAGAGGGAGAGAAAGAGAGAGAGGGAGGAAGGGGCAGAGAGAGAGGAAGAGAGAGAATCCCAAGAGCACTGTCAGTGTGGAGCCTGACTCAGGGCTCGAGCTCACAAACCGCAAGCAAGATAATGACCCGAGCTGAAATCAAGAGTCGGCCGCTTAAGTCACGCACCCCTGCAGTCTAATTTTTCAAACTCTCGCAGGGATTCAGGGCTCAAAGAACAACCATGAGTATATTCTAAGAGCTCCTGAGGGCAGGGGCAGGCGTTGGTGGTCCCCGTGATTAATGTGTCTAGCATGCTTCTGGGAGCTCACCGGATCCTCTGTAATCCTTTTAATTTGATAAGAGGTTTTTATGGAATCCCTTCGTAACGTTGCAACAAGCTTCTCAGTTCAATGCTTGTCATCTTGTCATCCTCGTGGTGTCCACAGACACTCAGACTCTGGTGACTCTTCATTATAACTCACTAAAATCACCTGTGAGAGCCCAGCCGTTTTTAGCGTGTTTCCAACACCGAGTCGAGTCTCTTTCCAAGCAGAGAGCTTCCTATTACTAAGAGCTTTTAGTGAAAGGACCGCAGGACCACAGAAAGCTCGAGAGACCTTTTTGGAGTCCCCTGCTGACACCATCCATCCTTCTCAGCAAGACGATTGTCACTGACAGATGCATCAGAGGAATGAGAATTAGACCTCGTCAATGTCACTGGTCTAGACCAGTCGTCAGGTGCAGGCACTTGTCTTGAAGGATAATTACGATAGAGCATTTAGCTTGTGTAGACAAGTAAGTGGCATGGCTGCAAAATATTATCCATGTTTGAGGACGTTAGGAGGCCAAGACAAACACAGCCATCCTCCCTCATCTGGCCCTCACACACTTGGCTGTCCAAATGGTCTGCAACACAGGGAAGAGCCTTGGAACACACCGTGTTACCTTGGGGGGACACAAGCTATCTGCTCTGGTGCTTACAAAACTTTCCCGTAAAGGAGTCCATCAGGCTGATGCTCTTTGCCTATTTACGCTTCCATTAAACACTAGATTCTAACAAAGTCATTCATTACTTTCTCAGTGTAGCTCTCATAAGAAGAGACGCGGGCGGGGGGGGGGGGGGTTTGTTGGCAGCAAATGCATTCGGAAAACAAGGCTCAAGAGCCTCTAATGCGATTTTTAAGAGAGAAGATACAAACTCTCCTAAGTGAATGACGGATGGTGGCGAACGTATATGTCCATTTAAGGGGAAAATGTGCCCACCTTGGCGGCTTCGGAACAAGGCTGTGTTATTGTGCAGCTCAACACACACCATTACCTTCCTTTACCTTGAGAAGGCTAAGATGTTCGCGAGGATATTCTAATTTACAGAAGGAGCATGTACACACAGGTTGCAAAGTGTTCTGCAGAAAACGTTGCAATTGTAAGAATCCGTTTGGGGGGGCACCTGCGTGGCTTAGTCGGTCGGGCGTCCGACTCTTGTTTTCGGCTCAGGTCATGATCTCACAGTTCATGTCAGTAATAGCATGTCCTGTCTTGGGTTAGTGTGAATACAAATGAACCCATACGTGTAGAGCACTCACAGTGGGGCCTGAAACCTAGTAAGCGCTCACTAACCACTCGTTCTTGAATTCCTCAAGTAACCTGCTCAGATGGGCACATTTCCGACTTGACAGGTGAAGAGACAGACAGTCAAAGAAATTCAAGACTTCCCTGGGCTCACAGTGTAAGGGGTGGGTCTTTATAAAAGGGCTGGGAGGGAGTCTGTGTCATGCATATCTCTGGATAACTAGATTTCTATATAACGAACCCGGAGAAAAGTGATCCTGTCTCTGCCAAAGCTAATTTTAAGGATTTGTCTTGCCCCGAGAGAAGACGAAGGCCGAAAATCACAGAACATGCACGGAAGAACATGGTGTCTTTTCACAAACATTCTCTAGAAGTCCACACAGAAGCTTGAACCATTTCTTATCCTCTGTCTAGTAACCAAACTTTGAGATCATGGCAGTTACCTATAGTGAGACTCACCGAGAAACCACCTGATGCTTATTTTAGAACCACAGTGTATTGGCTTAAATGTGTTTTAAAAGCCTCCAAAATAACACACTTGTTTGTCAGTCCAAACTGTTAGCAGACAAACGTGATGTCTAATCTTTTCTGGGGTGTGATTGCTTTCTGGATCTAGGGATTGCTTTCTGGATCATTTACAAACTCAAATGATTTCGGGGGCAGAGCTGGTACCCTAAGTACAGTGCAAGGTATGGTAGAGGTGGGTGGGGCCTGTGGCTAACTACATGGCCCTCTCCTGTCAGTCAGACCCAGAGGGCTTTGAGCAGACTTGACTTTCAAGTAGTCACTTCGCAACCCCGGTGTAAAGGAACAGCCTGCAACGCCCCTTGTCTATTATGGGGCCCCTCTTCTGCTCCCAGCCCTGAGGATGAGAAAAGAAAAGTGGGTATTGCTTCTCCTTTCTTTCTTCCGGCAAAGGCTTCAGGCCCAGCAAGCATTTATTTATGTCTACGAGGCAGGAGGCTCTGGATTCGATCCAGGGAGGATTGCAGACTTGGAAGCAGCAACCGCAGACAGGACGATGAAAGCGTCTCCATCCTGGGACAGCTCGGTTCTGCCTTTGGACGGGCTCGCAGGCTCCCTGGGCAGCACGTGATGAGTGCCGTCCAGCCGCAAGCGACGGTGAGGGAATTCACCAGAACAGAAGCGCGCTTTGAACCAAGAGCGCTCAGAGTTAGTGTCTGCAGTGAGCCGACTTCAGGCTACGTTAGCTGGAGACACAGAAGACCCGGGGTGTCGGAGTTGAAATTTCTGTTGCATCGAGAATCACAACAGCCATCCCAAGCCTCTTCTCCCTCCCGACTCATTTTTTTAAATTTCTTTCTTTCTTTCTTTCTTTCTTTCTTTCTTTCTTTCTTTCTTTTTTTTTTTTTAATGTTATTTTGTTTTTGAGAGAGTGACAGAGTGCAAACAGGCGCGGGGCAGAGAGAGAGAGAGGGAGACACAGAATCCGAAGCAGGCTCCAGGCTCCGAGCTGTCAGCACAGAGCCCGACGCGGGGCTGGAACTCATGAATCAGGAGATCACGACCTGAGCCAAAGTCAAACGCTCAGCCGACTGAGTCACCCAGGCGCCCCCACTCCTGACTCATTTTAGTGCCCCGTCCTTTTCATCATGATGGCCAGCTTGGTCCTCACTCATAACATGGAGTCCGCTCTCCCCGTGTAGTAGATTCTAGACCTGGGGGTGGGGGGGCGCTGTGATGCTCCAGGCCACCCCCCCCCCATGGTGACAGCATGCTGTGACGGCCCCCACCCAAGTGGTGCCGTGTGGCAAAGGTCGGAGTTCCATTTCCTATTTTCCAGGCTTCATTATCTGAATTACTCACTGTGTTACTATAAACACTGCATTTTGCTCCGTAAAAGTTTCAATTCAGAAAATCGTTTCCTCCTAAGTGAACTGCAAGCTCATTGAGCACTGAGGCCAAGGTATCCTTCAACCTCCTGCTTAGTGGGTGCTCCCACGTCAGCTATGGGACTGGCGGTAATTGCGACTCTTCAGTGATCCGAGAGCGGTAATTCAAGGAAGAGTGACCTCCAAATCAATGTGTGCACGTGAAATATTATTTCAATGTCCTGGGGCACCTGGGTGGCTCAGTCGGTTGAGCGTCTGACTTCGACTCAGGTCACGATCTCATGGTTCGTGGGTTTGAGTTCCACGCCGCGCTCTGTGCTCAGAGCTTAGAGCCTGAAGTCTGCTTCCAATTCCGTGTCTCCCTCTCTCTTTGCCCCTCCCCCACTCATTCTCTCTGTCTCTCTCTCTCTCTCTCTCTCTCTCTCTCAAAAATAAACATAAAAAAAGATTATTTCGATGTCCTTATTTGTAAAATGAAATAATGAATGCAGTACCTGGGTAGCTCAGTTGGTTGAGCAGCCAACTCTTGATTTTGGCTCAGGTCATGATCCCAGGGTCATGGGATCGAGCCCCCTCCCCCCCCCCCCCCCCCCCCCCCCCCTCAGGCTCTGCGTTGACAGCACAGAGCCTGACTCGGGGCTCAAACTCACCTATCGTGAGGTCATGACCTGAGCTGAAACCAAGAGTCAGATACTTAACTGCCTGAGCCACCAGGTGCCCCGAGGTTATGATATTTTTGAATGAATGACAGTTTTGAGCATCTCTTGGGTTCTTTATCAACTAATGTGCAGATGGGTGATGCTAGGGCCACATGGCAGGTAAGAGTATGACAAATATTTTATGAAAAAAAAATTTTTTTTTACATTTATTTGTTTTTGAGAAGCAGAGTGAGACAAAGCGTGAGTGGGGGAGGGGCAGAGAGAGAGGGAGACACAGAATCCGAAGCAGGTCCCAGGCTCCCAGCAAGCGTTCAGCACAGAGCCTGACCCGGGGCTCGAACCCACAGACTGTGAGATCATGACCTGAGCCGAAGCCGGATGCTC